GTAGAGAAGCAAAAACTCTGAAGTCCATTTACTTTCTTCACTCTGTTCTCTTTCCTGTGGTCTCCTGAAATTCTAAACATTAACAATTTCCCCAAATGGAAAACTACAGGCACTGTATAATTTTATATAGTGTTTGTTGTAGTTTCTAATTTCAGCCTTTTGCTTATGTATCTATGCAGCTGAGGCAACATTTCCCCTGTCTTTTTCTTCCCCAATTTATCTGAAGGACCATGAGGTCATCCAGTGCATTTGAGTAATCAGAAGTTTGTATAAGCAAGAGGTATTATTTTCACTGGATAACGTTCACAGGGTGGAGTGTGGGGAATACACCAGTAGCTTTTTTGGTGTTCCTTGATTTAAAAGAGTTTTCTTACTCCTCTGTGTCATGTGTCTGTAGAATAAAAGCATCCCCAGAGGCTAGAAGGAGGAGCTGGGAAACAGAGCCTGTGTTCAGGAGCTTTCTTTATTATGAAAAGCCTCCTGTTCTCCTCAAGGTTTTCACCACTACCAAAGACCTCCTTTTTAATATTGTTTGTGTGCCCCTCCCCATGCTATTTAGGCTGGATACCCCTAGAGTCCCACTCCCAACATGAAGCAGCATGGTAAAGCAGGCATGAATTCTCCAGGTTGTCCATGTGTCTTGGCTGTCCCAGTTAAATTAGCAGCAGTTAGCAATGCACCAGTAGAAAACCCCTTGCCAAATGTCGGCTGCTATTAACTTGACTGCAGAGAACTCATATCGCTTTGGATCATGATGGCTAAAGTTCTGTTCCGTAAAGCAAGTTAGAAAAAATAGGTTAAACTAGATTGGAAGCAGCACAAGAAGGAGAAACTAAAGCTGCTTGCTTGGCTTGGCTAAGCCTGATTGCAGGGCAAGGGGCACATTGTTTAGCAGTTCTCAAGACATGGCCATTCTGTCCACTATATTTTCCTCACATTAAAATGTTCTCCTGTCATTGGATATTTCCAAATAGGGGTAGCTGCTAGAAACAATACACGTACAATCACACTGCTCAAAAGTATTTGTTTTGTTATCTGTTTCCAGCTGTGGTCATATTTGAACCAAAGCTGTAATTCAAAGAGAGAGCTATTTCATTTAATTCTTGGGTGTCTGCACTTTTCCTTCTTTCATTATTTCTCATTCCTTCTGGGAAATTGCTTGAGGCATGCAGAGAGGGACAGTCCCCTTAGGCTGCCCTGAGGGGACATCATCTGGTGGTGGCAATGAACCGCTGTGCAGTTTTGTCCCTTTTGATGGACACAGTAAAAATAAAAACAGTGTGCTCTACAGCCATATTGGAATGGCATTGTTGAGATTCTTTAGTATGCATTTAGTTGTGTGTATGATGCAGATTTTCCCCCCTAAGCCAGTAATGAAATAATAAATCAGATTTGTGGCATTTGTAAGATGAAATGTTTTCTTGAAGATTAAATCACTCTCCTGGGCCCATTGTTATATAACTAAGGGTTGAAAGTGCTTCCTCGCTCAAGATGTAATTGTTACCAGGCTATTTGTGGGCCAGTACCACAAAAACCACCACTGCTGATTATTGCTGTCTTTAATTCCAACGGCTTAGCTTGCCATGAAATGTTGAAGGAGACAGGGAGGAGATGAAGGCAAAGCCAGGAAAGAAAGACATGCAGAAAGGACGTGAAGTGGGGTGTGGACATGCAGTTTTGTGGTTGGAACGGAAAGAAGAAATGTTAAGATGTAATCTGAAAGCTATTCCTTGCTAAACCAGAGACTATATGTGTGGGCCTAACGTGGGACACGTAGACCTTTTAGACCAGGCATTGTTGTTGGACAGGGTGGATACTTTTCTAGGGTGCTATCTTGTAAAAGAGCATGCTCAGGATACCCTATGGCTATCTAACTACCTTGTAAAAGGTCAAAGATGGCTTAGTAATTTTTTGATTGCTTCTCCCTCAATTTAGGTTGGAGAGTCAACACTTAGGCAGATCATCTACTTTAGACTACAGGTGATTTTATTCCACAGAAATAAATGAAATAAATCAGAAACAGAATTGGTGCTTCTGTTGCTCCTAGACTGAAAAACAAAAAACTTAAAATCAGATTTGGTAGTCATAGTCTACTTGCATTAGAGTGCTACTGTTACATTAAAATGTTAAATTAGGACTGGAGAAGATTGGCTGGAATTTCTTCCTGATGAAATTCCCATGTTGTATGATCTTGAGCCAGATCTCTTTTTGGTTTCAGCTAAATTAAGAATAGTTGAAAGAGATCATGAAAAATGTCCTGGGCAAGAAAGGTGGGACAAACATGTAGTAAATAAAATAAATATTGTTGCTTAAAAAAACAAAAAGAATAATTATTTTCTATTTGTGAATTTCAAGACAGATTTTAAACTCCGAGCACGTTCAAAAGCCAAGGTGTTTGATCTTGTTGAATCTTGCCAGGTAACTCCCGAAATAGAATAGAATAACAGAGTTGGAAGGGACCTTGGAGGTCTTCTAGTCCAACCCCCTGCTTAGACAGAAAACCCTACACCACTTCAGACAAATGGTTATCTAATCTCTTCTTAAAAACTTCCAGTGTTGGAGCATTTACAACTTCTGGAGGCAAGTTGTTCCACGGTTTAATTGTTCTAACTGTCAGGAAATTTCTCCTTAGGTCTAAGTTGCTTCTCTCCTTGATTAGTTTCTGCCCATTACTTCTTGTTCTACTTTCAGGTGCTTTGGAGAATAGTTTGACTCCTTCTCCTTTGTGGCAATCCCTGAGATATCGGAACACTGCTATCATGTCACCCCAGTCCTTCTTTTCATAAGACTAGAAATATCCAGTTCCAGCAACCGTTCTTTATGTTTTATTCTTGAGTCCCCTAATCATCTTTGTTGCTCTTCTCTGCACTCTTTCTAGAGTATCAATATCTTTTTTACATCATGGCGACTAAAATTGGATGCAGTATTCCAAGTGTGGTCTTACCAAGGCATTATAAAGTGGTATTAACACTTCATGTGATACTGATTCTATCCCTCTGTTTTATGCAGCCTAGAACTGTGTTGGCTTTTTTGACAGCTGCAGCACACTGTGACTCATATTTAAGTGATTGTCCACTAGGGCTCCAAGATCCCTCTCACAGTCACCACTATTGAGCAAGGTACCACATACTGTATACTGTACCTGTGCATTTTGTTTTTCTTGTCTAAATGTAGAACCTTACTTTTTTCACCACTGAATTTCATTTTTTTAGATAGCGCCCAATGTTCAAGTCTGTCAAGATCCTTCTGTATCTTAAGCCTATCTTCTGGAATGTTGGCTGTTCCTGCTAGCTTGGTGTCATCTGCAAGTTTGATGAGTTCCCCATCTATCTCCTCGTCCAAATCACTGATTAATATGTTGAAGAGCACTGGGCCTAAAACAGAGTCCTGGGGTACCCCACTGCATGCCTCCCTCCATGTAGATGCAGTTCCATTGAGGACTACGCGTTGAGTGCGATTGGTCAGCCAGTTACAAATCCATTTGGTGGTGATGCTGCCTAACCCACATTTTTCTATTTTATCAAGTAGTAGGTTATGGTCTATTTTGTCAAATGCCTTACTGAAGTCCAAGTAAATTATATCGACAGCATTCCTCTGGTCCACTAGTTTTGTCACTTTGTCAAAGAATGCAATTTGTTTAGTGTGGCATGATTTGTTTTTGACAAACCCAGGTTGGCTTTTGGTTATTACTTTGTTTGCTTCTAGGTGTTCACTGATTTGTTGTGTGATTATCTTTTCCAGAATCTTCCCTGGTATTGAGTTCAGGCTGATAGGTCAATAATTTCCTACATCTATTTTTTTTTTCTTTTTTTGAATATGGGAACTACATCCACTCTTTTCCAGTCCTCTGGAAGTTCCCCGGTGCTTCAGGATCTTTGAAACATATAGTTCAGTGCAGGGATGAAATGCAAAATTTTTTGCTACTGGTTCTGTGAGTGTGGCTTGGTGGGGGGGGGGGGGTCATGTGACTGGGTGGGTGTGGCCAACTTTTTTTTAACGTTTTAAAGCATTTTTACTATCTATTTGCCAGAACTGGTAGTAAAAAAATGCTTTAAAAAGTTTTTTAAAAAGGTTCTGATGATCACGTGGCATAGCTGTGATTGTCGGAACCTTCCTCTTTTTTTTTTTTTTTTTTTACTTTTTAAAGCATTTTTTTATTACCAGTTCACCCAAACTGGTAGTTTTTATCACTATTGGTTCACCTGAACTGGAGCAAACTGGTAGCATTTCACCCTTGGTTCAGTGGTTCTGAGATGACATCTGCCAGTTCCTTCAGTACCTTGGGGTGTAATGGCTTTCCTCACTCCTATTTGACATGGTAATTATGAAGGGAGGGAGAACAGTTGGCTGTTCTCTGCTAAGTACCATCCTATGAAGACTTTCTCAAGATAAATGACAACCAAGCACTGAAGCATAGTGATCACTATTATGCGAGATTTATCCAGTTGTACTGAATTGTGTAATTCAGAAATAGAGGAACTATTGGTGAGAAAAGGCATTACCAGGGACAAAGAAGGAAAAGAAGTGTATGATAGTCAGTTGGACTATAGTCATTCCAGTTTCAAATTATGTATTTTCCTTTTTTTAAATCAAAGGCAGGATTATTAAATTGGAATCTAATAATCCCTGTGAGTCCTGTTAGACTAACTATGGAAGAAAGGAAAGAATTGGAGGCACTTCTATTTACTTCCAAATAATCTGTTTTCTGTTTTAAATATTCAGGGGAATAAAAAGAAATTTTGTAGATGGGCCCCATTTATAGCTGTTCTATTTTCCTGAACTGTCTAAGATGTGAATGTATTGCTATTTGAGGTTGATGTTATTATGCACGCTAAATCTAAATATCCACATCTACAGTAAAACAAATGGAAAACAGAAAACCACAACATAATTCAATCATCAATTACCAGAAAAATATATTAAAGTGTTTTAAGATTATCACCAATGTCACTTGCTGCCTTTATTTTAGATTTTGGATATTTTTATCTGTTTGTTTGTAGCTCAGCCATGCGGGGGCCGCTTGAATTCCAAAGATGCTGGCTACATCACTTCACCCGGCTATCCACAAGACTACCCATCCCATCAGAACTGTGAGTGGATCATTTATGCCCCAGAACCCAATCAGAAGATCACCCTCAACTTCAACCCTCACTTTGAAATTGAGAAACACGATTGCAAGTAAGCAGTTCCTTTTTTTTTTTTTTTTGTCTCCTACTGCCCCTGTCCTTGACTTAGGGGAAAAAATCCAGTCTGTTCCTCCTGATTCTTGGCCTCTCTTCATTCCCACTGTATGATTAGCGTAATATCTTTATAAAAACTGATACTGTGATTGGAGGAATTTAGATAGTGTGGATGAACGGGAGGTTGAAACTCTGAAGCTAAAATTGATGGTGCCATTCTGCAAAGTTGCAAGTAATATATCACACTTGGAATGTAGCTATTAAGCAAAAATTTCTGATAAGCCATTAGTATATCTTACACTGCATGCATGAGCACAGATTAGAGGTCTTATTCCTACTCTTTGCTACATTGCAAATAAGCACAGAATCAGGGAGATGGGGAATGTGTGAATCATATTCTGGTGCCTGACATGGCCATGGCTCTCAAGGTCTTTTTTCTGTCTTACTGAGCATTTAGTAACTGCCTAAACAGATACACAATGCTAGTATTTTCAATTTCCTTATATTTGTTCATCCATCAGAGGTAGAAAAGAAAAAGCTACTTTAAAAAAAAAAAAGATACAGGAATAAGAGCTCCTGCTTCAGGAATCAGAATCAGCTTCATGGTTTGGTTGGGAGTCTTTGTGTTTTTTTCACATAGGAGCAAATCTATTGGTAACATATTTAGAATCATACTAGACAATCAATTTAGTGTTAGGTTAGTGTTTCAAGAGCTATTCTGTTACCTAAACAGAGAAACAGAATGATCCCTGGTGGGCAAAAAGCCCTGGGAGTAGGGGTGACTTCTGAATTCCTGCCAGCTTCCCCAGTGACTTTGCTTGTGGGAAGCTACAGGGAATATCACAAATCATTCCTCCTCCTCTTCAACTGACCCAAGGAACTGCCTGCCACTTTGCTGGGGGGAAGGGAAACTAAGAGAGCCACAGACTGCAAGGAAAGGTAATTTAGAGATTAGTTTTGAAAATTGCAAGATGTGTTGACATTCAATTCATAAGATAGTAAAGCACAGAAATTGAAGCTTGGAAAATGTGGCTTTTGGTCCTGAGCAAGCCCTATATTTACATGTTTGATAGGAGTTAACATAATTGGTTCTGTTGTTCCAGTACGGTCGATTTACGATCACAATCAAGCCCAACATTTTTGTTGCTAAGTGAGACATTTGTTAAGTGAGTTCTGACAACCTATCTTGTAACAGTTGTTAAGTGAATCACTGCCGTTGTTAAATTAATGACCCGGTTATTAAGCGAATCTGGATTCTCCATTGACTTTGCTTGTCAAAAGGTTGCAAAAGGGGATCACATGACCCAGGACACTGCAACCGTCATAAACATGAGTCAGTTGCCAAGCATCTGAATTTTTTCACACGGTGCTGCCATAAATGTGAAAAATTGCCGTAAGTCACTTTTTTCAATGCCATTGTAACTTTGAATGGTCTGTAAGTTGAGGACTACCTGTATAGCCAATTCCCATTGGTGGATACTTAGGTGATTTTGTATAATAAAAAGACTAAAGAAAAAAGGGATTATTTTTTTATAGCATGACGATGGCATTTTTGTTTTTGTTGTTTACTCAAAAAGGCTACAATTGGATTTCCAGTAATTGGCCAGGTACAAAACTATTAATGTTGATAAAATAAAATATTGATGGCAAGTGCCACTTCTCTTGCAGTGGAGAAAAATGCACTTTTCCTAACGTTTCCTCTCCCATCTGGTTAGCAAAAAGAACTATAGACTCTTTCGGCAGCTTGTCACCTCGGTTTGGTTATTCGTGTGCTATACATTTTTCATAAGTAGAGAAGTGTTTGCTCCCTGCCTTCAAAAATCAGACAGATTCTACAGCACTTGGTGAATTGCAAAGCCAGGGAGCTCGATGTCCAAGAAAAACAATTAGCAGCTAGTAAGAAATAATTAACCGCTTCAGTGAGCACCATTAAAAGCATGAATTAATGAGGTAGCCCCTTGGGTTTTATAGCTCTGTTTGAATGTCTGTGGCCTAGAGGCTGTCTAAAATATTTTGCTTTTCTTGAATGTCTAGATCTGATCCTGCAGTCTTTTCATGTGGTTTTAAGTCCTACTTATTTCTGAGGGGGTGGATAAATTGAATTGATGTGCTGGTTGATGATACAGCAGTTTGATTTTTCCAAAATAATAATTTCTCCTGTAGGTGGGGAGAAATGCTAGGTTCACATTTTAATGTAAACCTAGTTAATTGATGCTTCTGTACTATTGTAATTGTGTTAAAACGTAATTATTCTTTGACATTCATATATCTTTAATGAAAATTCACTCAACTGTGCACAAAATGCTTTCTGATTAAGGACATTTCTTGTGAAACACAGATAGTAGGGGAAATGTGCCTAATCTTTGTTAAGTTTTACATTTAAAAGAAGAAACTGGAAAAATAAGAACAGAGAAATTAAATTTATCCTTAAGAAAAAATAGTGTAAATTCATATAACTGACATAGCTTGAAATTGCTTGCTTAGATCCTTGTTGGTACATGTTTAAACTGTTCAGTTCATTTTGGAATGAAATTATTTTTGTTGTCTTGGTGGCTATCCAAGATTGGTTTTGTTGGACCTCTCAATGTCTTTTAATATTTTTTTTAATATTGATAGTTTTATAGTCCTTGTTTTCTCTAGCTCTTGGAGCAGTTTACAAGGGTATCTGCCATCACCTTGAATGAAAACAGCTAGGGATCACTCTGCATGAAGGAAATAACAAGCTTAATTCAGATATTATACTTCATCATGGTTTGTTCTAAGTAATAGCTTTCAAGCTAAGCTGCAAAGCTTTAGAACTGTGTTCTCTTTTTGCTGGTTAGCTCTATTTTGGTAGTTTCTTGTGAATTGCAAGAAAATTGCAGCTTCTTGTGAATTAGAAAATAATGTTTCTTCTTCAAGTATTTTTTTTTAAGTTGGAAGAAGTGAGGGAGGTGTATACATGTTGCTATGTCCACGCTCCTTGGGGATAAGGTCATCATGCCTGTTTGCTGAAACCCCGGTCCCCCCCCTCCCCAGTGCCCTCCTGTCTCCTGGTGGACCAGTTAGTTACTATTATTTTGCCCAGAAAGGAAAGTGTCACTGAGTCCTTTGCAAATCATCAATTATGTGAAGGCCAGATGTGGTGCAGTATACAGTGGGAACAACTGTATGTGGCAGTTCTGTGTTAGAGGCTTCTGGAGGCAGAGTAATGGCTTATGATTACCTTGCTAATTGATATATCTCATCAAATGATATATCTCATCCAATCAAACAAACAAACTCATTTTTACCTGCAGCTACATCTTCTGGTTTATTGGCTGGTCCCAAATTATGGCTTTCTTCTATTCTTGGCTGAATGAAAGATGAATGAAAGATATCAAAATAGCAAGGTCAGGTTTGAAGGGGGAGGTGCATTTCGATTGGCTTGAATATCAGTGTGACTCCTAATCCAGCAGACTTGTATCATATGGAGAAGTTTGGTCTTGGTCAAATTAATATGACTGTCCCTCCCATTCAATCCTCCAGCTGAGATAAGAGGTTGGAGAGCTAAAGCAACAGGTTCAGATGTTTACTCTGCTTTCATTTCTGCTAACTCCCTGTCCAGGTACTTCCGAAGAAAAATAAAAGTTTAATATGATAAAATTTAGGATCCAAATGCAGCATTCATTCTGCCTGAGAATCCAGGAACTGCAATAGCAGTTGAGTTATAATCAGCCAGATATCTTGTTCCATATTTAAAGGGAAAATAATATGCTTGTCCTATAGGAGAATTGGCTTAAATGCTTAGAATGAAAGAATTTGCAGCAGTGTATTCATGGGGAGAATCACACGTCTATTTTATATCAGTAACATTTTATCCTGGGAGGCAATCCTCTAATTTATTATTCTTGCAATGTCACTTCTTCTCATAATGTCTGTGTGTATGTGTGTGTGAGAGAGAGAGGGAGGGAGGGAGGGAGAGGCATTGCTGGCAAGGCAATAACCCATTAGCCATTTTAAAATAATTAATCATGGGAGAGGCGTAGTCCAGCATGGGAGAAAGGAAACACACACCCTAAATGTAAATCAGCATGCAAAGAAAAAAAAAGTGGGGGGGGGGATGGAAGCAGTGAGTGCATGAAACAGTAGAGAAATATTTTGGAAAATAGGGCATTTTTGCTGTTATTTGAGAATTTCTTACAAAGTTTATTTTGAAAGGCTGTTGAAGAGAACTGAAGTGATTGTGATAACAAAGGGTACAGTGGAAGTGTATAATTTATCAGTAGCCAGATTTTCACTAAAGCTCTTTAATCTACTTATTGGGAGGATTAAATCCACACCAAACTTTATAAAGCCTCTCTACTTCTAAGCAGGCTAGCAGTGATAGATTTTGATCTTGGAAAGTAGAATATTCACTTGCACAAAACAATTCTACAGCCTAACAGCAGCTGCTGTTTTATTATGTAATTGGTTGAAATTTTGCTTATACATAAATAATGGGATGTCCTGCATTAGGATTGTAATATAATTCTATGTAATTTGCATAATGTCCCAACATAGTCCTAACTTAATCTTTCACAAATAAATGATCATAAATTTGTTGTGGTTAGGCCTTTAAAAGCCCTCTGTGATTTCAATTAATTTTTAAAACGTATTTTTAAGCACTTTTCCTAGAAAGTGCCTGCTATTTCTTTCCCTTTGCCTTCATGCATTGAAACGTCATTACTTCCAGTGATGCCATGTATATATTATCCATGCAAAATAGGGCTGCACAACTTGTTCCAGTTCCTGGTTGATCTTTGCCTTGGAATGGCCTTTTAGCATCTGCACTTCTCAAAGTATATAAACCAAAATCAAGAAAAAGCAAATAGTCAGAACAGAAGTAAAACTGTTTTAATTTAAATGGAATTCTAATTAAGTTAATTAAAATGGTTAATATGTCTGTTTCTGAATATTTTCTTCCTTTGATCCCATGAATGGAATGTGAGAAAATTTGTGGGAGAGTTGCAAATCTCCAGGGTCCTCAGTTTATATCAT